ATCAAATATTTACAATACAAAACGCACACTGCATAAAAAACAATTCAGACCGTTCGGTCGTAGATGCGGCGCGGCGGCGCATTCGCGACTGGATGCCCGCCGAGAGCACATCGAACTCGAGTGGCGTAGGTATAACTCTCGCTTTCCGACCGTTTGTATGAAGATAGAATACTGTATGATATTATTACCGTGCCAGTGCTTTCACTGTTCGACGTGTGCGTGCGCGTGTTATGTACAATCATGTCGGCAATTGATACAAAGCAACTCATAAGAGAAGTTCAAAAAAGGCCTGCTATTTGGGACTTACAAAACCAGTTGTATAAAGACAGGAAAAAAATTATTTTCATCGTTCCGCAATTGCGAATACAGTGTTACGAACGCACCACTCAACGAACGCTCTGAAGTTATAGGATGCATGAACAATTTGCCTTTTCGGCTGAGTTTTTTGTTGTGATGATATAATGCATAAATCAAAATAACTGTTTTTTTATTAACTGTATCCATTACTGATAAAGTACGTGACTGTACACGTTCAGGCCGGTCGAGTGCACACGCGAAACTGTGAAATGCCAACTCGACCGGTAGCTGGTAGCTCTGCACGCGACCGGCGACACGCTGCAGAATGAAAGGAGCCTTAGATAGACCGACATTACTTACTTCCTACATAGACAAACCTTTACACTCTTTTTCCATAAAAAGTAAAGCAAAGGAATATACAACCACAGAGTATATAGTGAACTAAAGTTCAACATATAACAATGTTAAGCTTTTACAAAAATATAGAGACTAGAACTCTATTAGTGCTCTCCGAGATACATCTCCATTTCAAGGTATGACTCTAACATATCATCAGTTACATTAGAGATTACATTGGACACAATGTTTACCTAAAAAGCGACTACACTCAGCGTTATGGCATAACAGTATACAATTTAAAGTATTTAACAACTGCAGCATACTCTCATGCCTCTCTACATTCATTATGTTATACATAGCAAAACAAACAAATATCAATACTTATAAAAGTCAATCTTTATATATATAATTCTTCTGTGAGTGTGTATGTCACTGAACTTCTCTTAAACGACTGGACCGATTTTGATGAATTTTTTTGTGTGTGTTCAAGGGGATCTGAGAATGGTTTAGATTCACAATTTTGTCCGCTGGACAACCCCTATTTTTTTAGGGCGGTACGAATTTCGCTGGGTCAGCTAGTACTACATATAACTCTTACAAAATATAACATAGTTACTCAACATTCATGCTATGTACAAATGTAGAATGCTTGCTCGTGCTCAAGGGTTTGGTCGCGAAGTATTACCGTGGTTTGGTCAATACATCCGCTGTTATCTTATCAGTCGGTAAGTACCTAAATGATATAGTATTATTTAGAAACAAGTCTTTAATGAAATGGTACCAGATGACAATATGCTTGGTTCGCTTATGACTATACTCTTTTGCTTCTAGTAACTTCAGTGAACCTTGATTGTCATTAAAGACTGTAACTTTTAAATTAGTACCCAATAGAAAATGTAACTAGAAAAAATCCACGCGGACCAAGGCTGCAAGGCAGCGCCATCTCTTCGCATTATAGGTAACCCACAATGCGAAGAGATGGCGCTGCCTTGCAGTTTAAGAATGGCTAAAAGAATTTCGACGCGGTCCGTGAGAGCCGCGGTACCATAATTGGTCAGTGCATTCGCCCGGATTGCGAAGGGTGCGGGTTCGAGTCCCGTCTGCTGCCTGGTCCGCGTGGATTTTTTTCTAGTTATATTTTCTTTGGATTTAAACATCAAGTAGTTAAATCCTTTAAAATAATATAAATTATAGTACCCAATACTTTAGACCAAACATTTTTAATGAAACAAATATCCTTACAGACTTCATTAATACATAAATATTCCGCCTCTGTGCTAGATAGCGCTACACAGCGCTGTTTGCGGGATTCCCAGTTGATGGTATTTGAGCCAAGCTTTACTACAAAACCAGTATTAGAACGCCTATCCAGAGGATTATTGACCCAATTAGCATCTGCGTAAGCAATTAAAGTCAATACCCTACTCTTTACAAAACAAAAAGCATAGTTAATCGTCCCCGCTAAATATCTGAGAATTCTTTTCGCTGTTTGCCAATGACTCTTATTGAAATTAGAATTGTACGGACTAAGTTGGCTACAACCGATACATACAATAGGCATCCCATAAGCTCTCTATAATCATAAATTTCATCGCACAGAGACTGTACAAACAGTTTATAGGCATTGGTGTAGAGACGGGCTTGCAGTTTTCCATGCCAAACCTTTTAAGTAGTCGAGTTTCAAAAAATCTTTGCCTCTTGTTACATTAATGCCTATACAACTCTCAAGGCTCCCTAAATTTTTACAATGAAACTACTTCATCAACAAATTCACAAGCTGATGATTCACGAGCCAGTATCGGCAGAGAGCAGACCGACACAATTTCGCATTTATAATATCAGTCAGGATAATATCAATAGCAGAGTATAGTAATATCTCGTTTACACCAAGGTAATGAGATTATTATCTGTACAGGGTTAATTTGAAAACACCAACAACCTCTTAGGGGGTGATTCTACCCATCAACAGGAACAACTTTTATTACGGGACCAACTTTGAAATCGTGAAAAAAATATCAACTGTTTAACATAAAAGTGCATCAGCTAATCGACCGAAATGTATGAAACAGCTGATTTTTTGTCGTGATTTCAGAGTTGGTCCCATAATAAAAGTTGTTCCTGTTGATGGGTAGAATCACGCCCTAATGTGCGGTGTGCCGCTGCTGTTCAAGTTTCCATACATCATTTGACATTGACATTTCGGTTCGCAAACTATTCGAATTCGATAATGGTTCGTTCGTGCCAGAGGTACTGGGCGGCAGCGGCAGCCCTGCCATTAAAGCTTACAATAACGCTTGCAATAATACTCTTCATTACCATTAAAAATGTAACGAAGGTCAAAAATTCATGAATCTCCTTCGCTTGAAGAGCGTAGATACCATGAATTCGTTCAATATCAATAGTCTATATTCTGATCAAATGAAACCATATCGCGATTTAGATTTAGGTGGCCATCGTAGTAGCGCCATCTGTTATAAGTGTTGCAAATTAAAGTACCCTTCCACAAACTGCACGAAAATTCCTTTTGCTCTATTTTTTCTTTTGAAACTGTTTTTTCATCCTGTTTTGATTTTTTTTTACTTTTTACCATTATTTTCAAAGGCATCCGTCCTGGCCTAACAGGCGATTTTTGGCGAAGTTACAGTGCGGGGAGACGAATGCATAATTCCTTCCTTAATAACGTTTTAACCTTTGACTTCCAGGCTACGAATTTACAACTAGACCATTGCTGGAATTAAAAATAGATATAACTTATAATTTTTGTTTTAATATAAGATAAATAAGTATCTATTAAGTCACATCCCTAACATGTAAGTATTGTTATATTTTTATTTTTAAGCATTTAACTGCTAGATGTTTAAATCTAAAGAAAATTACTAGAAAAAAATCCACTAATAATAAAGTAACGAAAGTATTCTTTTAAAAAATCTAGGAGTCCACCTATTTGAGATGAGTCTGCCCTAACTACTTTGATATTTAAGATGTAAATGTTTAATTGCACTTATTATAAATAACTCTATTTGTATTATTACCATGTGAAACAGCAATCAAAATGCAGTTGAACAATTACTGTATAATTTCACATTATGTAATGAAAGGTGACTTCATGAATCATCTCTGAAGTCATTTTTCAATGAGGGCTATCGCGTATGAATCCGCCGCTAGAGGCGCTAGTGTAGCGTGAGGTCTCCGAAATGTCAAATGTTATTGCTTGTTGGTTGACTACGCGGGTTTATTTCTTATTAAAATAATGTTGTGAATAATTGGTAACAATTCGGCTTAATTATGGCAAATATGAGTTATGTGGCAATGAATGTCAGTTATTAAAAATTTGAGCTTAGAGAAATGATTATGTTCCCATTTTTTCCGAATAAAACGGAACTGGGCGTCACTGTGGCATGGCCTATTATGTTTAGGATATGGTTCTTTTGTATTAAAATACGATCTAAATGTAACCTTTGATTTCATGTGCGTATTAATAAACTTTAAAAGTTACAATTTAGGACCTCACTCAACAGTGGCGCCATCTGGTGAGACAGAAAACGGTAGCCCTCATTGGCAGCGAATTGTCCGACCTGGTGCATTAGTGTGAGTGTGTACAATACACGATTTTGTCGGACCTTGCATGCTTCACATGATTTGCCTTTGATATTACGTCCGCCTTTTTTTCAGGTCCGTGGCTCCGTTTTCAAATCACTGACGTTCATTGGCACGTAATTCATATTTGCCATAATTAATTGAAGTTATTACCAAATATTCACAACATCATTTTTAGTACAGTCATTTGGTGAGAAATATAGTGGTTACCTGGATAGTTTTCCGGAAGTTTTGAAAATTGGTAATTTTATAAATTTTGAGGTGTTCTTTCCGAATTTCGACTTTGCCACCTCGTACTTTTGCCACACGCGCCGCCATATCGCCGCCGAAAAAAAAGGTAGATACATTAAATGTAGGCAATTGTCTCTTGTTTCATTTTGTATTCACTGTTTTTATTATAAAATGAATTTGGAAAGGAGATATTGTCAAATAACTGCTTTTAGTCGCCATTTTTCTAATATAGCGGCGCGAGCGACAAAAATACGAGGTGGCAAAGTCGAAATTCGGAAAGAACACCTCAAAATTTATAAAATCACCAGTTTCAAAACTCCCGAAAAACTTTTTATGTAAAACTACCAAATAACTGCACTATTTAACAAAAAAATAACCCACAAGCAAAAGACCTCACCCTCACGCTACACAAGCGCCTCTAGCGGCGGAATCATACGCGAAAGCCCTCAATACAACCCCTTATTTTATCAGGACCTTAAACATGCATGATAGGAAATTAAAAAGATATAGTTGCCTAGCAACGCCTCCTGCTTTTTCGTTTCATATCATCGACCATTGATTGTGAAAACTATTTTTGGGCGGCATTTCTTATTTTTTCACTTCGGAGATATTAATTAATATTATAACAAAAGGAATTTTAAAATGAGTGGTGACACAGAGTACGAACGTCCCAGAAGACATCGAGCACCAAAAGTGCGTGTCCATGACTATTTATACGGTAAAGTACTTTTGCATTTTTATGTGTAATTATAATAAAATAATTAAGTTTAACAAAACATTTAGACACGGGGCTCTTCATTTATTAGGTAAGGCGATTTAGGGGAAAGACTAAATCGAAAGAAAAACTAGTCTTGGGTAATAAATGAATGGCCCCTTACTAGTTACACTGCATATTTACCTTATTAAGAAAGTTATCATGAGGAAGTAAGACACCTGTGTTCAACACGCGTTTATGAAAAATTTCATACAAAATTTGCCTTTCCAATGTTTGGAGTTTGAATCCATGTCTAATTGTTTTGTAGTACCTACCTAAGTTAAGATTGTTAGCCAATGATATCACATGTACAAATAGGAAAATATAATAGGGTACTAACGCGTGTAGGGCTGTCGAAAGTTAAAAAAAAATTTGATATATCGATACATCGATATTTAAAAATATATCAATATCGGCTTTGATATATCGCGAAAAAAACATCCATATATCGATATATCGGATCAATTTTCCCAAAATATCGTACAGTAGCTCACGAAGTATGACACGCGGAATAATAATGGAACGAAAATTATCTCCCTAAAAATACACCCTATTTTTCAATGATGACATAGACAATACTAAATACAGCACAGATCATAGATATGTTGAATATCATTAATCTGAGATCCAGTTACGATTTTTCCAGATACGAATTTAGTTACATCGTGATATGCCGCTACTAATTAAAAAAATATCGTTTGTTATTTTGTATCGATGTATCAATATATCGAATCAAAATATATCGGCAAAAAATATCGATATATCGAACAAAAAATATCGATATACCGATACATCGATATATTTTCAACAAGCCTAAACGCGTGCAAGTTGTTGTTGCAGACAAAAACGGCATTGACACTACCCAATTTTAAGGGACCCAATCTAAGGCGATCGGCGAGGTGTAATAATTGCTACCCTAGCTATGGGCCACGTCCACCTTTTCGATAGGGCCCTTAAAATCGCGTAGATATGTCACTAACGCGGGCAAGTTGTTGTTGTTGCAGACAAATTCAGACAATTATTGTCATAATTTGATTTAGTCGGCTAATGAGGTCGATTCTGTCGTGATTCCCTAAATTATCATTCTGTATAGAGAATGACAAGGATACACTGTTGTCAAATTTAAGTTTAGATTTAGAGAATCGTGCCAGAATCGACACCAGTAGCAGCCAACGAAACAAATAGTGCCCGTAAATAATATTAATTAAATGCCAAGTTATGTGTTCAGAAAATGTAAAAAGTATTGATCAAAGATAAATAAGAATAGGGGAGTTTCATACCACACGTAACTGTATAAAACAATATCTTATTTGTTTTTTGTTTCTTATAAAAACTCTAGGGCGATTGACCCTAGATTGGGTCCCTTGAGGAGCTCGATGGCGCAAGTGGTTAGCACGTTCGGCTGCGATCGTTGAAGTTAAGCAACTTTCGCAGTGGTCGGTCATTGGATGGGTGACCAAAAATTTACTATCTCGATCTCCTCCGTGCTTCGGAAGGCACGTTAAGCCGTTGGTCCCGGCTGCATCTGCAGTCGTTAGCACCCACCAATTCGCATTGGGATTTCGCATATTCCATCCATAGGGAAGGCCTGTACCCCAACATTGGGGACATTAATAGGCTGATGATGGGTCCCTTACTTACTTACTCATATTACACCACCCTTAGTCAGGGTAAGGTTCCCTTAAAATTGGGTAGTCTTCATTTCGTACTCGCAAACGTTACGAATTCGATATTGGTTCGTGGTTTAGAAGGGTACAGATTTTAAAAGTAATGAATAGGCACGTAACATATCATTCGACGACCTCCGTGGCCGAGTGGTTTGTACACCGGGTTTCATGGTGTCGCCGACTCGAGAGGTCCCGGGTTCGAATCCCGGTGGGGGCAGCTGTTTGTGTGATGAATACGTGCATTTGTACTCCAGTCATGTATGTTTAATATGTATTTCTATATAAATATACTTATATATGTACAGTATATGTATTCTATCCGTTACCCTAGTATCCTATAACACAACCCTTATAGTGCTTACTTTGGGGCTAGGCTAATTGGTGTGTGTGTTGGAAATATTTATTATTTATATTTATTATTATTATATCTATTAATAAAGTATCATGTGGTCTAACCTTTTTGTAGCACCTAGGACCTTTATGACCTTATTCATAAACGTAGAATAAGTTTAGACTAGAAACACCGTGTTTGTTTTATTTCTATCACTGAAATGCCATTTGTCATTTAATGAACAGAGAAAAAACATGGCGTAACTAATCCAAGCTTATTCTTCGTTTATTCATAAGGGGGTTAAAGTTTTAGATTGTTAGCCAAAGAAATTACTACTTTAAAGGAAATTGGGCAAAAATGCATGGACGCTGCACCCACGTCCGCCACGGTTTATAAACTACATTTGTTTGGAAGGTACTATAGTCATGATCATCTGTGCCATAGCGCTTCAACTTCCATCCCGGGGGTCTTTAGTAATTTTAAGTTAAATAGGTACAAGTACGAACATTAATGAAACAAGGAAATTAATTTAGTTAGTTAATTCGACCCAACATAGGGGGCTCAGGTATTATGGGAGTACTTCACAAGGTGCTAGGGGCACCCTTATGTTATTCTACCGCGCTAGAGTACATCAAAAAATCCCCGCTTGGGTTGGTTTTTTTCAAACATTCTTTTCGTTATAGTAAATTGTCTACTATGTAAAACGGAGAGACCACAAATCACACAAATTTGTCCACGCTTCCGAGAAAACATGATTCCAGTTCATCCATACTAATTGCCAAAACCGATAATGGTGTTCCAATGTCCAAAGCGTGTTAGGATAAAAATTAATCAAGTGACAGGAAGCGCACAATCACAATGAAGTAAGACAACTGCAAGTCCTTCAACCCCCGTAAAGCGTTTTAAGGTGGCTCAGTAAGCGCAAACGCAGGATGGTCGCCAGGCTTTAACGATAAGGCATATTATTATGGCTATTAATAATGTAAAATGAAGGTAATATAAAATGAATTTATTTAGCTACTTAAATATGCCCATGTGTCATGTGTGTGTCTGATGTCTCTTTGATGACTACCAGGATATTTTTTACGGTGTCATATCTTTTGACTACCGGGATATTTTTTTACGGTGTCATAATAAAAAAAGGCTAGTTTTCCATAGATCTATCGATTCATACTAATTTCATTGATGGCGGAGCTGGGTGTGTTTTGCCCATTGTCCTTTATCTTTAGTAAAATTATTATTTAATTAGCTTTGTAGTCAGATAAACAGAACTCGGCAATAAACATAACTACATTTTATGTTTCAAAACTTTTGTAATTCTGCTTTGTATCTTGCTACCTGGTCTACCATAAGGATTATGCTATAATAGATTTATTATAAAAATTCAGCTTTATCAATAAGGATCGCCGATCGGTGGTTCAGTTGTAGTAAGCTCGCCTCCTATGCGGGCCGCCTGTGTTCGTATCCCAGCCGCGTAAGGACCTTTTTCAAGTGAAACTTCTTTGGCTAATGCGTTACGCGTTACGAAAAGTGTGTTCGGGCGAGGCGAACGGGAGTTGAGTGGGGTATATAAGCCAGAGAAAGCAGTGCGCGCGCACATTTTCGTTCTCTCTTTCCCTTATAGCTAGTAAATGAAATATGTATATGTACATACATGTATATACTGTACATCTTTATATATATAATTCTTCTGTGAGTGTGTATGTCACTGAACTTCTCTTAAACGACTGGACCGATTTTGATGAAATTTTTTGTGTGTGTTCAAGGGGATCTGAGAATGGTTTAGATTCACAATTTTGTCCGCTGGACAACCCCTATTTTTTAGGGCGGTACGAAGTTCGCTGGGTCAGCTAGTATATATATATGTACGCGACGACCGAAGCGAGAGAAAATGAACTTACGACGATACGAGAACAATGTATAAAAATGTATCTATAATTTCACATGAATTAGTTGTATACGTATTAAAAATATCATTCCCTTGTTGTCTTATTAGAATGAGTCGGATATCGCAACAATAGATAGCTCTGCCCATAGTAAACCATTGTAAAATTGATAGTTCAGAGCGATATTCCGCCCCGTTCTCTCCAATAATCTTATAAGACTTTATCTAAACGATCGCCACGACGCCAAGCGGTGGCGCGGGGAAACTAGTCAGAATACTGATAGTTCCGACCTATAGGAGGGACGGAGACAATAGGTTGTCCTTGTCACACGTCTTATAGGATTTTGCCTGAGTTGATGATTTTCGATAATAGTATGTTTTATGTTTTGATTGATTTATTTTATGTCTTATTAGATAGTAGGTAGTTATAGGAATAATATATCGAAGTTTTGTATGAATCGTGTTAGTAGTTTAAGCGTAATTAAGGAAAATATCGGGAATAGTTTTTTATGAATAGTCAATAAGATATAGGTATAATTGTTATAATAATGATGTCATTTTATGTGTTTTTACTTCTTCTTTAAAATGGTGTATGATAATTAGACATTAAGCGAGTATAAGTAGGTTTTTTAAGACTTTTTAATTTGTAAACTTTATAGGGCCGTACAGCTGTTGTTTATTAATATTCTTGTAAGAAACTTGTTGTATTAGATAGGTAACACGTGGGGCTACGTAAATAAATAGGTATCGCATCAATAAGTGTAAAAATGTACTGTGTAGGAGAAGAAACATGTTTGTATAGAACCGTTTTCTGAGACATGTTGCGCTCCCCACCCGGCGCGCCCGGAGCGCGCGGGTGGGGCAGCGAAGCCCCGTGGCAGGGCGAAGCCCTATGGAGGGGGAAAGTATAAATATTGCGGAGACCTATTTTTTGCGCGCCACACCTAAAATATCGTGTTTACGGACACATAACTATGTTAAAAATATGCCCAAATGTATGCCCGATGTATGTACAATTAGTTTTAAGCTCGCACTATTGTAAATCTTGAGAAAATGAAAAATAAAGTATAGCGTGGGTGAG